CTACTTTGGAGCCGGGCGGGAGCCATATGGCTACTCCCCCGCTGCCGGGACGCGGGGCGTGAGCCCGAAAGGCCTGATGTGCCCATAACTCGTTATGCCTGTGGTTATGCTCCGGATTATCCATTAGATGTGTTTCTTGCAGGCATATCACGTCTGGCCAGGCTTTCCCGTCGACTCCCTTTAGCTGGTCCATTATCGCTTGTCGTTTAGGATGCTTCGCTGAGGCGAGCCCGTTCACATTCAATGAGCGAAGGTCAAGGTCAGCTTGTCGTGTGCACAGTTTCCAAGTTTTGTCTTTACCATACAAGGCATCAACCACATTCATCTTGTTATGGCTTCCTTGACTATCCGTGTGCCCTTATAGGGGCATCCAATTCCCTGTGTCCAGGAGGTTGCCTTGCTGTAATATATCGTTTATGAGAATTTTCACCAAGAAGTTTTCAATTTCTTTCGCAGACCAGGGGTCCCCCGCCTTTATTTTTAAGAGTTGCAGGTCTTTAAGTCCCTCTTGGTCTAACCACCGTAACTCTTCTGATTTGAGGTGATCGTATCGCAGGTATATATCTTTGGCCCTCCCCGACCCTCTATCTCTGTCTCTAAACCCAATCAATCAATCGATCAATCAATCAATCAATCAATCAATCATCGAATGATTGATTGATTGATTGGCTGATTGATTGCCTTACTTGATGTGAACGGTTTTCACCTTTGCAGTAGCAGATGTAGATCCCAGGGCTCGATCCGTAGACCCTGCCCTCAACCGTGTACAGTACCAAGTCAACCCTGTGTGTTTGAACATGTGACCTGTGTCTTAACAGTTGCCTGTTGTCTGTTGTGGGTTAGTGTGGTCATCGGGTCTCAATCCACAGGTCTGTCGAGTAGGGGTCATAGCTCTGTAGAAGTGGTAGCTGCTACAGTCCTGAGAAGGTCAAGGTCGCAGCTGCTACAGTCCCGAAAGTGGCCTTTCGAGGATTGTTGAAGTGAGGCTAGTGGCAAGTGGCAAGTGGGCCGTCCAACCTCACCTAATCAGCGGTACCCTGTCCCGGTCACAATTTGTCCAGTCAGCAAGTACCATGTGGGACTGTGTGCACCCTGGGCCCGGTTGAAAGGAGAGGAGCAGACCAGCGACCAACCGAAGTATAAATCAAGAGACAGCGTCCAGTCATTCAAGACCATCGACCTTGGTTGATTGATTGAAAAAAAAAAAAAAACACGAAGGAAAGGGAGGAGACACCACAAGAGAAAGAGAGAGAGAGAGTAGTAGGGGACTTGTTGGGGAGGGTCTAGGTTGGTGGAGTATTAGTAGAGAGTCCCGACCCTCCCCGACCCTCCCCGACCCTCCCCGACCCTCTCTCTATCTCAACCCAATCAAACAATCAATCAAGCAAGCAAGCAAGCAATCATCAAACTTAATAGATGAAACGGTTTTCACCTTTGCAGAGGCAGATGCAGATCCCGGTGTTTGATCCCCAGACCTTACGTCACCCATGTACAGTATCGAGTTGACCCTTGAGTGTTTGAACCCGTGACCTGTGTTTCGTGAGTTGTTGTTTGTCTGTCGTAGGACTGTGTGGACATAGGGATTCGATCTGTAGACCTGTCGAATAGAGGTCTTAGAGAGTTCCAGAAGTTGTAGCTGTAGATGTCCTGAAGGGTCAAAGTCGTAGCTGCTACAGTCCTGAGAGGTCAAGGTCGTAGCTGCGACAGTCCCGAAAGGCCAAGTCCACAGACTTCCGGAAGGTCCGGAAGTGGCCTTTCGCAGCTTGCTCACGTTTTAGGCTGAGGCAAGCGGGCAAGTGGGCAAGTGGGCAAGTGGTGGACCAACTGCAGTACGTTCGCAGTACGATAGCGGTAGGTTAGCAGTGCGTCCCCATGCGGTCAGCCGTACAGTCCAGTCAGTCCCAGTCCAGCAAGTACCATGGGGGACTGTGTGCACCATGGACCGATGGAAAGGGCCAGACCAACTAGTTACAGAAGTATAAATCAAGAGGCAGCGCACAGCCATTCATTCATTCCTGCGGAAGCCATGCGGAAGCGCTGCCACGGTGACTTGTGCGAGGTGGTCTGCAGAGGAGCCTGAAGTCGAAGTGGGTTAGAGGGACTTAGCGCAGCCATAGCTGCTTGTAGAGTAGAGTTAGCTGGCGGCCATAGCTGCCATAGTTAGTAGTAGGTGTGCATTCGTGTGTGTGCAGAGTGTGTGCGTGGGGTATCCAGGGTGATCCGGAGTTGAAGTGTGAAGTGAACAGCGGTGTTGGACACAGTGACAAGAGTTGCGATGTGTGGGTGCTGATGTCGTGGGAGTGACGGACAGAGAGTTGTTCGGGCGATGTGCCGCCATAGCCATGTGAAGTGAACTTGTATCTGAGTGTGTTCTTGGTACTATATCTTTGAGTTAAGAGTGGACGCCTGGCGCCAGTGTGCTGCGCAACCTGTTTGCACACGTGTGAAGTGTGGATGAATGCGAGTCTGATTGCATGGATTGATTGATTGATTGATTGATTGATTGACTGATCGATTGCTTTACTTGATCGATTATTCAGTCAATCAATCAATCAATCGATCAGTCTCAATCAGTCAATCAATCATTCAATCAGCGATTAAATGATTGATTGCCTGATTGAGACTGATTGATTGATTGACTGATTGATTGATTGATTGATTGATTGATTGATTGATTTAAAAGGGGAAAAAAACAAAGGAGAGGGAGGAAAAGAAGGAGAGAGAGTGAGAAGGGGTAGTAGGGTATGTGTTGGGGAGGATCGGGGTTGGGGGACTATACAGAGAGAGTCCCAACCCTCCCCGAGCTCTCTCTCTCTCTCTCTCTCTCTCTCTCTCTCTCTCTCTCTCTCTCTCTCTCTCTCTCTCTCTC